CAAAATGAAATATTGAAATGTTTATTTCCATTTTTTTTTAATTTTGCATTTTATCTTACTTTTTTTTGGTTTTTGATTCTTTTTTTTAAGCACTAAGAGAGCTCTCCATAAAATTCTATTTTTTATATTATGTATTATTATATTATTTTATATCTGTTTTTTTTTTTACTTATATTGTTCATACTTGTTGTTGTTTGTGTTTATTTTCGCTATTTTCAAGGTTAAATTTTAGTTAGGAATGGAACAATAAAATGTATAGTAAGAGTGCAAAGTAGTAGTAGTTGAGTGTATTAAAAAAAAGATATACATTCAAACTTACATATTTATGCACTACAAACATATAAACACAACTATATGTGTTTAGTTTTGTATACTTATAATGATGACTATACTATAGTTCTACATATGATGATGATGTTTAAGCAGCGATCAACATCATAATGATGTTTGTAGTAGTTTTGTTTGTTTGAGTGCAAATATATTTTATATCTGTATGTGCAAATGCGTTCTGTTCTAGCAACAATGGAAAAAAATGAGTTGCTAGGAACAAATCATCATCATTTTTATTTTAAATATACACTACTCTATACTAATACACACTAATAATAGCAAATTTTTTTTTTATGAGTGCAGAACAAGAAAACAAACAACTAAACAATAATACATATAAAAAACTGAAAATCGAAAGTGGATAAAGAACGAAAAACAATAAAATGAAACAAACAGATTAAAAAGATTGAACATATAAAGCAAAATACAATAACAAATAAACTAAAAAAAATAAAACACATTAAATTAATTCCAAGAATTTTTTAATTTGCAAACTAAATTTAACGAAAAAAATGTCTCATAGTTTTCGAGACCAAATAAATCAGTTTCAATGAAAGCAAATGTGGGTTAAAAAGTCTGGCAAAGAGGAGAAAGAAGAGGCGTTATAAAAGGAGATCAAATAAATTTACCTATAACAGGAATGAAAACATCAATTCTGGGTTGGACTGACTGCAAGAAAGCGGTCAACAGTTGAAGAGGATAGTAATCTGGAAGATTGTCGTTAATAATTACCCAAACATTGCGTGGTAATTGAGGAGGACAGTAAACTAGAAAATCTCAAGAAGTAAACTTTATAAACCCGAAGGGTTTTGAAACCGAATGTCTAGTCAAACAAAGACTAAAATAATGTTTATAAGTTCAGTTCTAGATGAATTCTAGTTCAGTTCTAGTTAGTTCAGTTCTAGTTCAGTTCTAGTTCAGTTCTAGTTCAGTTCTAGTTCAGTTCTAGTTCAGTTCTAGTTCAGTTCTAGTTCAGTTCTAGTTCAGTTAGTTCAGTTCTAGTTCAGTTCTAGTTCAGTTCTAGTTCAGTTCTAGTTCAGTTCTAGTTCAGTTCTAGTTCAGTTCTAGTTCAGTTCTAGTTCAGTTCTAGTTCAGTTCTAGTTCAGTTCTAGTTCAGTTCTAGTTCAGTTCTAGTTCAGTTCTAGTTCAGTTCTAGTTCAGTTCTAGTTCAGTTCTAGTTCAGTTCTAGTTCAGTTCTAGTTCAGTTCTAGTTCAGTTCTAGTTCAGTTCTAGTTCAGTTCTAGTTCAGTTCTAGTTCAGTTCTAGTTCAGTTCTAGTTCAGTTCTAGTTCAGTTCTAGTTCAGTTCTAGTTCAGTTCTAGTTCAGTTCTAGTTCAGTTCTAGTTCAGTTCTAGTTCAGTTCTAGTTCAGTTCTAGTTCAGTTCTAGTTCAGTTCTAGTTCAGTTCTATTTCTAGTTCAGTTCTATTTCTTTTCTAATTCAGTTCCAGTTCATAGAATCCTTTGAGAAGGTCATCTAATGAGGACAAAACTATAAGTCGAAATAGACCCACCTACATAAGTAAGTTGATAGACGTCCAAATGGGTTATTCAAGCTCATTTGTCCTTTATAAGCAGGCTAATTAAAAAACAACAACAAAAAGCACATGTTGCTCGAAAATTGTAAACATAAATTTATATGTAAAAATGTACAAGTCTGCAGTTAAATGATTAACAAGGTCAGGAAATCACTCTTTAAAAACCATAACAAACCAACCAGACATACAAAACAACACACATACCACAACACTCACACAAACTCTTAGTCATTCTTTGTTTTTTTGCGTTTACTACATTAGTGTAATAGAAAAATTCCAAAACACTTGTTGCTCATGGGGTTCCTCTAGACAGAAAAAGTCATAAAAGCATAAACAAACAGCAAATGTAAAATAGTTAGACATCAAACAACAACAGCAGCAGCAGCGGCGGCAACGAAGTCAAACAACTAACAGACCGACCGACCAACAAACAAAAACTTTATGATTTACATACACTCATATGCTACATATACATATAATCCCCAATGACCTCCTCTGGCTCTCTTGCAAAGCTCCTTTTATCCATCCACCTTCTAAACTAAAACTAATAGTGCCAACAAGTCTCTTTTACAGCAGAAACACATAAAAACAATGAATAAAATAGAGAAAAAAAGCTTAACACACAACTATGAACAAATTACAGCAAAAAAAAAATCAACACAACTATTCATAGATATTTTGTACACATGTATGTATGTGTAATATCGTCTAGTGTAATCTGACGACTGCACCACATACACATGCATCCATACATGTAAAACAAAAATATTTACACACAACTGTTAATATTCTCTGCATAAACATACATGTGTTAAGTTAAGCCAATGTAAAATTGCACATGAATACATTTGCCAACAAATAAATGTACTTGTATGTGCAACCATTAGGCAACTTTAGAGTAGTCGTAGTAGTCGTCTAGTCGTTATGTTGTCGTCATCAGTAGTAATCATGCACCTCTATCTCTCCCTCACCCCCTCTTTTTCTAGTTTACAACCTTCATACAGAACCTAACCTAACTAACCAAACAACCAACCTTCAGACATTTTATATACATATCTACATGCATTTTATACGTGCATATGTATGTTTTAATACTGGCTGGTAGTTTAGTTTTTTTCTGATATTTTTTTTTTTACATTCTCCAGTTGTACCATTCATTCATTCATGCATTTTTCTATTCAAATTGTGCTGACGATGATGATGTTGTTGTTGTTGGTGCTGTGGCTGATGTTGGCAATGCTGATGATGATGATGTTAATGTGAATGACGATGTCGTCGTGGATGTCGAGAGAAAACAACAAACAAAACTAGACCAGACCAAAAAGAGTTCAGAAATAGACGCCACAAACTTGGTAAATAATCTAATGTACAACACAAACTAGTTGTTGTAGAAAAAACTGTTGAGAGATGGTGGGTCAATTGTGAAGGTAATAAGAATATTTGATCGCCAAAAGAAATGGGAGCAACTGAGAGATATATGTGCATTACAACCAGTTTAAATTCCTTAAGATTAAGTCTATCCCAAAGTATGTATTCTAAGTCAGATCCCTTTATGTTTGTAATAGCATAAAGAAGAGTCTTATTTACGAAAAATTGGAAAACTTAAATGATCGACAATCTCCCACTCTATAAGATAATAAGATTTCTATGAACTAGTTGTATAGAAGAAAATCACTCTTCTACACAACTGCGCAAATTTGAAGCAAAAGTTACTGCAATTTTGTATGAAATTTTGGAACCGAAAACTATATGGAAGATCGTGATCCTCTACATCCAAAGAACTATTTCAGACTATGACTATAAACATTTAAATCTTAAATTAGTTTGACGGTTTATATTCCCAAAGAATAAGTTTATCCCGAAAAACATTTGTTCAGAGTCAGATCCCGTTAAGATTTTGGCTGAATAATCTGTCAAGCAAAAGATGGAAAGATTTCACGATTGACAATAGTGGGCAACAAGATAAAGATAAAAAATTTTTTATGATAAGTAAAGACATGAACCACCTCAGAATAACACAACTGCGCAAATTTGAAACAGAAGTGACTGGAATTTTGTTTATAAAAGTTTATGAAATATCGTTTGAACGACGAAGCGCACAAGTGTAAGTAATTAACAAACCACCTACGCATTTTTTACATATACAGAAAAACTTCTCACCAAATGCACTTTACAAGCAAGCACTCATATTTACACACTCTTACCCATACAGTACAAAGTAGCTTAGTTTGTAATGTACATACACATATACATAGATAGACCAACTAACGAACCATTTCATTCATTCGTTCATTCACCAGAAATGCAACGACATTGCAATGTGGGAAACGCGGGAGAGTGTATGGTGTAGAAAAGTGAAAAGTGAAAGTTTTACTACAACTACTCACACATTCAGGCATGAATGCACCCGCCTTGGTAAATACAGGGACATGTAAACGTATGTATGTATGTTTGACTGAATGTGTAACTAGAAAATAGAAATATGTATGAATGTAAGTAGAAATGCTTTTAATCGCCAAGGTTTTTCTAACGTCTACACTTTAACGTCATCAGCAGCAGCATCATCATGATGTTAAACTTGTAGTAGTTGTTTGCAATTCATAGCAGTGACGACACAGACAAGCAAGCCTTTGGCGACTATTTTTTTTTTCTTGTTATAGTAGAAATTCAACCGTTGCTATTTAGACTAGACCCCGACATCACGTGGCCTTTTGACTTTTGCATGCTGTTGTTTGTTTCTAGTTTTTTATCATGACTGCTTTATGTCCCCGTAGTTTTTTTTTCTGAACTAGAGTTAACTTTTAGTTTTAGTGGGAGTTTGACTAGGGGGGGTTTTGTCTGTCTTGCTGTCTGGACTAAGGATAATGCGTCTAGTAAAAAGAGTTTATTTTGATTGTAGGTGTTTTGTCAAAAGTTTGTATTTTTTATGGTTATAGAGAGATTTTTATTGTGTTGTTTAGTAATGGGAGTTTGAAAAGGATTTTCTGTGTTGGTGAGTTATAATAAAATGTTGTAGTAATAACATACTTTTAGGGGTTTTGACTATTGTATTGAGTTGTTATTAGTTTATTTGTATTACTGTTTATATAAAATTATATGATTAACAAAGATTTTTAAGGAACAAATTTTACTTACGAATTTAGTTTTCTTGTTATATAGAATGCAAGGATTTCTTACCTAAAAAGATAAAAGAGAGGAGAATTATTAATAAAGAAGTTTTTTTTTGTAAACTTTTCAATTTATAGAACATTTTAAAACAAATACTTGTGATTTCTTTAAAAATTTAGTTAATTTTGTTAATTATTTGTGTGCATTTAAAAAAAAATTTTTATAGAATCTAATTAGTTGCATTCTCTTAAGTGTTTTTATTCATTAGGTTTTATAATTGTTTTTTTTTTTTTTTATGTAATAAACCTTTGTTCAGCCCTATAACTGATAAGCTTTTTAAAATGGGGCCAAAAAAGTTAATTGCTGGGAAACCAACTAACATAACCATTTATTAAACATGCCCCTATCTATCAGTATTCCTATAAAAAAATTACAAAAAGATAAGCAAACGTTTCCCTATAGTATATTTTCCAGTATGTATTTAAGTAAAAATTTCTTAATTCCTCTTCATAGTGTTAATAGACATATAAAATATTTTCAATGAATAGCAGCGAAGCTTCTAGTGTATATTTGTGTGTTTGTTTTTTCAAACAATAAAATTCTATTTGAAATTAAATAAAAAAAAAGTTTCTCTACATATACTTTCAAGTTCAAGGTCTTACAAAATAACAATGTCTGCCAAATGGTGAAAAAAAAAAACAATAGACACAGCCAGACATTCGTAGACTTTTTTATTCATATACGATCGGCAAATAAACAAACAAAACCAAAGAGAATAAGAGTTTAAATTCGTTGTTGTTGTTGTTGTTTAGCAAGATCATTTGAACAATTTAGCAATCAGTTTAGAGAATTTCATTCTGTTTTTAATTTTTTGCTTTAAAGTCTGATAGTTCGAAAGTTTTTTTGTTTTTTTTTATAAAATAAAATATTTCCAGATCCTTTTAGAAAAGTTTGGGGGGAAAGAGCTTTAACAATAAACCTTTTTTTTCTTATTAATTGAAAGCAAACGTATTTCAGTTTAGTTATAGAGAGAGAAATAAAGCAAAAACAATAATGTTCTAATATGTATAATAAGTATTTCTATAAATATCACTAATAAAATTCAGTGATGCCAATGTTTAGGAAATAAAAGAAAACGCTGAAAGTAAGAGAACTGTTTATACTAGTCCAACTCAAAAGAATCTGTTAGGCATCAAACGACTTTAAGATCGATTCATTAATAATAAGGAACTTTATAACTATGAATCCTTTAAGCAAAGAAAAAAGGATCATAACATGATCGACAAAAATTGGAGTTTTAGAGAAACTAGTTAGTGTTTGCAAATTCCCTATGAAATATAAGAACCGAAAGCAGTAAATCCAAAGAACTAGTTATTTTGATTTACACACGTCACATGTGTTTGGTAACCTGCTGTACATTTTGTCCCTAGCCGAACTAGATTCCTTTGATGATTTATCTGGCTCTAGACTTCTTCCTTAGACTCAAATATATCACACCTATCTAATATTTAACATGCGATGAGTACCGCAGTCCAGTTAAAAGTAGTCCATTGTACTCTAATTAACTGTCTAAGCTTAGTAAACTATTACAATAACCGTTCCCACCACAATTGGATCTTCGCCGTAACGACCGGAGTCATACTCAGCCAAAGATTGTCAACCCAGCAAGAACTGTATCAACCGAAAGCATTTTTTTCCCCGGAAAGAACTATCGGCCACAGTCGAACTGTAACAACAACAACATCACAATAATCTGATCTAAAGTTTTAACTAATTTGGGTTCTGTGGCAACTGTTTTATCGGAAATTTTGATATCTTATGTAAATCATTTCAAACTTTTCTTTACTAGGAAAGCAAGTTCTTTAAAAAAACAGCATAACTTGGTTCCTTAATCACTGAAAGAAAAAATCTGTTCCCCTTAAACTACTTTTAATAATCTAACAAAATCACTACTTTACACTCAGTGAGCCACAAAAAAGCACTCACTCTCGCGATCTAATAACCCGAAAAAACACACATAAAATTTTATCTCTCACACTTAAAGCTATTTACACTAGTTTTGCAATAGAGATTTTTTCTCTACTCTCTCCCCACAAAAAAAAAAAAAAATTCACATTGAGTATGTGTGACCTTCACCTTAACCTAGTCATCGTTTGTCGGACTTTCGGTCATTTACCTCAGTTTCTAAATAGTAGTAGTAGTGCCAGCAAATTCTTGTCTGCCGGTCCCTCTCACTAAACCATCACAATCTATTGAAAAAACACCAACACTATCACAGGTTTAGATAAAAACGAGAGTAAATATAAACTAATACCAAATAATGTTTTTTTTTTTTGATGTCATAGTATGAGTGATAAGATCTGGTATAGCAAAGCAATGTAGTAAAAAAGAGAAGAAATACTGTAATCAGAGAGTTAGTGAACAAATAAATTGATTATTTTTTAATGTATTGGTAATAAGAGCATTAGACAGAGAGTTAGAGCAAGCTTTTTTGTTCGGTTTGGTGGGGAATTTTAGTATTTGTATAGGTGTTGTTTTTTGCGGCTGTTATTACTCAAATAGAGGAGGGTTTAAGGCAGTTGGTTTTTTCAGATTATTTGTGGTTAAAGCTGTACTACAGCCATTACTATATGCAGACGTTTGGGTCTAGTGATCGTTTTTTTATAAAAATTCAAAAATAAACAAACTTTTTTTAACAAATGCGAAAAAAACAATCTTTTAGCTACTACTTTAACTACTTATTTATTTATGTTAGTTTGTAGAGAACTGTTTTTTTTGGCGTTTCAAATTTTATTCCCTAAAATATTATACAAACCCGTTTCCGTTCATAAGACCGGCTTTCAAACTAAACTTTACACAAATATTTGAACTCAGCAAATTTTTGTTCTTTTTAGCAAAAAAAAAAACCCCTGTTGTGTGTGTTCAATAGATTGACTGTTTAGGTTTTCATAAAACCTATTGCAAATAAAAGAACACTTTATACCTAAAAGGTATAGTAGTTGTTGAAATTCTCATATACAAAGTGACAAACCAGACACTTTTTTTCTGTTTTTTTTATTCTTTCTATTGATATTCTATACACACACATGCCGTGTTTGTAGGCTTTAAATTGTTAAAGAAAACCTTAAAATGCAAGATCGCCAAAAAAACTACTAAAAAATTACACAAACAACAAAAAGTTGTTTGTTTTTAGAAAGGAAATATGTTGTTTTTTCAAGTAAGTATGGTTAGCACTATGGGTTAGAAATTGAAATAAAATAAACAAGAAAATTTATTATAGAGGAAGTTGAGTTAATAATGGAGTTTTTTTTTTTAGAAAGGAAATAGAACTTTTTTTGTTTTCTACAATTAACACAATGGCTTAAAAGTGTTATAAAAGAGAGGAAAATACAGTAAAAGAAGTTTAATTAAGCAAATGATAAATACACTTTTTAAAGCTAAAATATAGAAGAAATTTAGCTGAAAAGCTAGAAAATTTTTTAATAAATAAGCAAATTTTTTTTCAATCCTTAGCCACTGTGCTTATAAAATTATCTTTATCAATTACAAATATGCCATAAAAATAAGCCTTTAAAGCAAAATATGCCTATTTGAATTTGTCACTCTTAAAAAAAGCATTATTGCTTTTTTATTCCCCCCTGTGAGCATTATTCTAAAGCTTTTGTTCTTGTTGTTATTGTTTTAATTTCTAGTGATAATACATAGTTTTTTTTTGAAAAAAGAGCTTTATTTCGTCTTTAGTTTTTCTTGTTTCTATTGCGTGTTCTCTTACTCTATAATATTTTGTCTAGTTATAGTTCCGCTAGTTTGGGCATCATCTCTTCTTTTTCTAGGCTAGACCCGTTTATTGTGTATAGCAGAGAAATAGCTTTTGTGAGTTTAACTAACAACCATCTGTAAGAGTATTAGTTTTTTTCTCTTATAGTTTTGTGGTGAAAAACTATTCATAGTAAATAAATATTTTTGCCTATTTTGATGTAAGAAAAAAAACAATAATAAACTTTGATAGATAATGAAATTGGTGTGTATGCGATTTTGTTTAGTTTTCATTTAACAGTAACAGCGATCGGTTAAGAGAGCACAAGAAATCGGAAGATCGAAAGGAAGGAAAGGCAATGTTTATAAAAGAAAATATATATATTTTCGGAGCGTTTGATCGTGCAATAGGTGTGTTATAAAGAATATATATAAAGTGAAAATGTTGACAAAATGGAAAGTAATTAAAATTGTCGTTAATAACGATAATAATTTCAAAAATTCAATGTTTTCATTACGAATTTCATTAAATTATCTGAAATATTATTCGTTTAATATTTTAAGCTAAAAATTTTAGTTTTATTTGCAAAATTAAAACAATATGTTTAAATAATTCTGTTCATTTCTTCGAATTGTGTTTGAAAAAGCGAGATTTTAAGTGTTTCACGATCATTTCCATTTTCAAAATGTTATTGAAAAATGAGATCTAAATCGTTTTATAAGTATCACTCATATGCTGTTCGAAGCAAATACAACTTAATTCAAATAAATTTAAATGTTTGAAGTTCCTTATAAAAATTACTTAAAATCAATCGATACTGATCAATTAAGAAAAGTTTAAAATTTGTAAAAAAATCCATCAGAAATCATAATTCGGAATATGATTTATTAAAAAAGAAAGTTCTGCGAAGATTATGCGACCGATATTGGATCAATAAAGAAAAGTAAAAAAATTGTAAAAAGATCCATTTTCATTACAAAAAGATCTTAAAATAAATATTATTATTAAAGAAATCTTAAAGAATAATTTATAAATATCAAAGAAATTCTAAATATAAAATCATTTTTGAAGAAAATAAGCAAAATTATAAAAAAGTGATCAACTTAAATTTAAAAAAAAAAAAATAAATAATTTTATAAAAATGTATTAAAAAGTATAATTTTGCACGAGAATTCATCAAATAATTCTATATAAATTATATAATAAATTTTTAATAAAATTATACAAAAGTATAAAAGTATAAAATCATTTCTGAAGAAATTAAGCAAACTTATAAAAAAGTGAACAAATTAAATTTTTGAAGAAAAAGTTA